GATCTTGGTATTACGATTATATATAATTGCTTACAATTTCAACCATACATTTTTCAATAAAATAATATTATACGCAAATTCAAAAGTTTTCTTTATTTTTTATCTTCACATTTCTCATCAATACACTATTGAAAAATGCTTTTTTTTTTTTTTTTTACAAAATTGGAGCTCAAACAAGCCTTCTAAATTTGATATTATGGACATGTCATCATTTTGGTGAATTGATTGAAAAAGTAAAAGGTCAGATGAGTCGATGACTGTGTCATCAATTGAATGGATGATTCTACTATGTGTACATATAGGATCGTTAACCAAAAACTTTCTTCCTCCATGGTCAGGTCAAAATTGACAAGGCCACCCTTAGTGAGGTTCACAGCACTAATCTCACGAGACTTGTTCAGCCTAGACTGAAACGTTGAGGGTGCTTTTTTTTCAATTTTCGTGCTTCTTTAGAGGAACTCATTGAAAAAAATAAAAAGAAAATAATAATAATAATAAAAATAAATACCCAAACTTGTTTTTGTCTGGCTTTTTGGGACGGGTCATGTAAGCATGCACTGACTCATCGTCCTACACTAATTATTTGTGCGTGTTGAATTATCTCGTTTAAAAACTTAAATTATTAAATTTTAAGAGAAAAGAAAGAATTCATGAGCTAAGTTATTTTAGACAATTCATAAATGGCAGTTTCTTATTGAAATATTATATGGTTATGATTTTCGAAGTGTAGAAGAAGTTTTACATGGTTTAAAGGTTACGGGTATAATAAAATAATTTTTATTTAATGTAATTTTCAACAACAAAATATAAAAGATAACGTGCAGTGAAGAAAAAAGATACAAATCGGACAAAACCATTCGTGCAAACAAACAATATACCAAAGTAATTAACAGCAATACTAAAACAGCACCAAGACAGGGATTGAAATACTATAATCACCAACATATTACCTTACCACATGTTCAAAAATGCATTATTTAAATTCCTGGCAATTGTGTCAATGTTGTAAATAATCTGAAATAAAGAAGCCGAAATCACAATTGAAAATCCTTATCTGTAGGGAAAAAATCACAGTATGTTAACCCATTCATCTTGACGAGATTTGATTCGACCTATTCAGAATAAAGGGACTCGGATAACCAGTTTACTGTCTTCATTTCTATCTCAACTTGTTAAAATCTATCAGGATAATCCTTTGTTCGATATCTCTTGCAAAAAAGGCAGAACAGGCAGCTTGAAATGGCACATAAGAACTTATTAAAGCCATATTTGCATCATTATGTTCAATAAAAGGAACGAGAGAAGCTCCAATAAAAAAGTAATGCAAGGGAATAGTACTTCAAAGATGAACCTGTCCCCATGCAATAGTAAGGAATTCTTGACAGTACAGGGTAAGAACATCCTGTATTTTCTGAGTATCCTGACTCAACGCCAGAGAATTTCCTACCACATCATATCATTAACATAGTTCCAAAGGAGGAGAATGCTCATCTTTAGATATGTCACTATCAGATTTTCATGGTATAACCAAAACTTTGGTGACCTCATCAAAAATCTTTCAATGTACATGGGATCACAAGTTTAGACATGATGAAATCCAATATTGGAATTTGAAGATAGTTTTGCACTAGGTAAAAACAACAAAGCTGATAAGGCAGCAGGCCAATGATTAAAATTATATTTACATCATAACTTATTTTTAACTTTGGAGTAAATTCTAAGTTTAGTTTTATTCTTTCACTTCTAAAACAACCTCTTTCATCTGCCTATGTTACCAACTCTCTACACCAGTTTGTTTCAACAACTAAATAGAAACTCTGTTAACAGTTTATCTATCAACAATTTCTCAATTTCATTACCTATTGCGTCAATCTCTCCTTTGAATTCTAACCATTGCATCTCTCTGTCAAGTATTCTTTCCGGTATGTACCTATCTGCTTCAAAATCATGGCCTGTTAACAATTTTTGACAAGCATCTCTGACCACTTGTTTCTGACAGGTTAAATTGACACTCTTTATTTTTGGCATCACCCAGGGGTACCAGTCAACGTGCCGCTGGAACGCCTCCAAGAGTGCTGAATTTATTCGGTCAAATAGAAACCTTCTTTCTTCCCTCAAACCAGTTATCTCATCGTTGTTGTATTTCTTCTCGAGGTCGTCGAACAACCATGGACTCAAAGGGCATTCTGAGGAGTACCACATTGTCCTAAACATAAAAAGGTGGGATTCTTCAAAACCAGAATCAATTAGCACATCATGAACATAAGAATCTTTCCAGTCATCTGCTCCTAACATGTAGTTTTCCTCAAAAACCATATGTGATTTTTGTGCAACATCATTTTTGCTTGAAATAAGAGTGGGTGCCTCAACACATGCTTGTGACTCCATCTTGAGGAGCTGCAGTTGCATTCGCAGTTCTACAACAAAGAAGATAAGAGAGAATGTTTAGCAAATTATAATGGTATAGGAAATTAATTTAAAAAAGAGAGAGAACGCATTTATCATGAGAATTAGCATGGACAACATGAGAATTATTATGCATATAGTAAAGCTCGGTGGATATCCATAACACATTTACTACTACAAGGAGGCAAGGAGCTAAGGTAAATGAGCGATTGATGCAACAAATAAACAAAACCTAGATATGTAGGCTTCCTCTCTGAGAAACATGAACATTTCCTACAAAGACAAAGAACATCCTGGAATTTCTCTATAGAAGCAATTGACTGAAGTATGTACTGACTAAAATAGCAGTGATCCAATACTATCAAGTGCCATGTGTTACACACCAACTTAGCTTATACCCCTTATTGAAGTAAAAAAATATATATATATTACTATTTCTTTATGGCAGCAACACAATCTATTTCCAAAATTCTGCTTTCCACGTTTTCTTTTCTTAATAAGCATTCAAAATCAACTTTCTCCCCAAATTTAATACGAAAGAACCAGCTCCACAGCATAAAAAAATAAAATAAACAAATAAAAAAATTGTTACCTCCAAAACACACTTTCGTATATTTATTCTTGCTATACCACCATCCATTCTAAATAGTTACACAGACAAATATATAGTGATACAGACTCAAGTCTATAACTAGAACGTGCAATTAATTAATTGCTAAAAGTTTCCCCCATAAAACAAAATCTAATAGTACAGAGTAAGTAGCTTCGCACCATGAAGTTCAGCATTGACTCTCTCAAAGCTTTCAGAAACAGATGATACATCTTCTGTGAGAGGAATCTCAAGGACAGAATCTGGACTAGGATCAGCCTGCAGCAAATTTTCTGAAAAACCAGGATCTGAACCTTGTTGGGGTGGTCCCTTTTGTGGTTCCTGGAACATCATGAAAGGCTGAAATGAATACTTTTAACATGAATAAATCTTTGCAAAATTTAATAAAGTAGCAGTTCACATCTAAAATAATAGATGCAATCTAACTGTACTATCAATTATGGATCATACAATCACCGGAAATACTTAACAATGTAACAGCTCTTACGAACATTATTTAAGAATTAACTTTCTGGTGTAGCCAATAACAGAAATTTAACGCACAACACTTAATGACAATTAAAATGTAATGTATATGCAACAGATAGTGATTAATAATCTCGATTGAGTTGTTCAACCCCTAAAATCCAATAGCACCTACTTATAAGGAAAAAACCATAACAAACACCATTTGAGTAACAGATTCTTTTTGTCTTGTGTTTCTCTAACAATATATTGCATATTATATAAAAAAACTTCGCATGTTGCATTATCATAAAATCTGGTGCAAGTTATTTAGCATTTCAAAGATATTATGAAATAGCTTTCCTCGTTATATCATAAAAATGTTAATTATAACATTATACCTTGCTGAAAATCTGCTTGCTGCCTTCTGAATAAATTTACAGAAGTTGACAGCCAAAAAGAATTGAAAAACTACATTATAATGCACTTAATTTCCTCTCACATATGTAACATGATTCAGTCAGAGATCGAAATGCAGTAATAAATACAGCAGCAACAGCTATGGTACAAATAGTTAAAATGATTCAATTTTAGATTTTCTATTATGCATCTTGTGGTATATAAATGAGTTTTCGGTATCTTTCAGATCAGTAATATAATCAACACTTTTTTTATCATGCCAATCGCAAGCAAAAATCTTAATAACTATGATGCACATAGACAGACACAATGACATGGAAGTGGTACTATACGAACAAGTCATACAAAAATTGTCAAAAGAAAAAGAAAACAAAAGTATAGGACACGGCAGTTCTATGTATACATGTGTGCATACACAATTTAGACTTGAATATGGACACATCTATAGAAAGAAAAAAATACATGCAGCACTAAACGAGTTAAAATTTAAACCAGTATAAAATTGAATCACATTTTCCGCAGGCTAATATTTTACAACATTCAAGTTAAGAAACGGAAAATACAATACCTAAGCCTTTCTAGCGAAACAAACCACATCAATTTTAGCATCTCTCTCCCTTCTAACATGTTCTATAAGAATTGCATCACCCATGTGAATTGGAACCTCTTTAGGTCACCCAAGATATCGTTCAACCATGTAACATGTGTTACCCAAAAGCAAATTACAACGTCCTAAACATGTAGGATATCTCTGTCTAGCAATGTTTCTTTACTTTCCAAAAACTGCCCAAGCCGTATCTGAACTTTACCTAGACCTGATTATGTCAACAACTGACAACCCCTTCCAAAGGAGTGTCCATCCACCATAACTACACATCCTCTGAAGTTTGAAAATATAATAACCGCCCTCTTTCGACCTACTCCCATGTGAAGAGCACAGGCAAAGGGTGTGAAGACATAAATAGAGACTCTTTAATTCTTTGAGGGTATGATAAAGACTATAGTGAATGCTAATGTAGTATTACTACAGATAAAACGTTTTGGATATTTTATAAATTTTTATTTACTCGTCCCATGTCAGTTAGACAGGGAAATGGTATTGGGTTTATGATGGAAGGCCACTCCTAATGTTTTAACCTTCAGGTATGGAACACTTAAGTCCGAATAAATAGTATCAACTCCATACTTAGCCATGTGGATGTGCAAGATGGATCTCCAAACATGGGCAGAAGATATGAAAGAAGGAGTGGGCACTATGGCTCATAAAAGTCTTAGGTGTCTCAATAAATTTGTTCCCATGAAAGGCGTTTGCCCCTGCCCCAATGGAACAATTGGATATTGGAGGAGCGTAGAGAATGGATTTCCTTCTTGGTTGAAGGAGGATGAACGGATAGATTATTACTTGAAAGGGGTCAAGATCTTGTAGTAATTCATTTGAGAGGAATTGTTGGGGAAATCCTTCATGAGTTAGACATGAAGATGGTCGTGGATTTATGAGGGAATTGGCTACTTTTAATCAGTGTTTTAAAAAGCGTAAAGCATGATTAGGTGTTGAGGTCAAGCTTCAAGCTTTAAGAGCCTAGGTGGACGTAGGTGTAGGCGTAAAAAAACATTTTCTTATTTTTAATACTATTTTAAGTTTTTAATCATTCTAAATATCATTTAATAATTAAAATGCATACCAAAGAGAAAAAATAATTAATAAAGCCTAGGTGAGTCTAATCGCGCATTAAGCAGTCAACTGGACAATTGACCGCTTAATTCGCGCTTACTACCAAGGCAAAACGTTTTGCCCACACCTCAAGCCTAAGCTTAGAACGCTACTTTTAAAAGGTTGACCTTTTGGGACGGAATCCCGTGTCTCGAAATTAAAATGAAATGAAATGATGTAATACATTTTGCTTAGTTGATGGTACACAATCTACATTAACTTAGAATCTATTCGCTAACAAAGTAATTGCTCAAAGTCCTTTCAATCACCTTAGTACGTCTCTTGAAATCTACATTGGATATTCATATTTATGTTTACTCAAATGTTTATTTCCTTCCTTTAAAGTAGATAATATCTTTATATTTCAAGTTCAATGAGCATGCAAGATTTGTTGAACATGTGATTGAGAAGTTTTTAATGATATTAAACCATTTACCATGGCTAATGATATCGAGTGATATTTTTAGTCTAATTCAAGCGTCACATATAAGGTAAAGAGTATTGTTATTTGACATTTGTTCTCTTATTGTTAGTATCCACAGACCACAATCAAATCTCGTAATGTGACCGACTATATCTCCTGGTTGTAAAGCTTAGATAATGTTTATCCAACCCTTAAAGTTGTTTTAGAGCTCCATGTGTCCTCTTAGTAGCTTGGTATTTGTAAATCTAACTCAAGTCTTTCTTAGCCAATTTTGCCTCAAATCTAGATCAGTTTTAAACAAAGAGTATTGGTTTTAATAAAACCTATATTTGATTTGAATTTAAAAAAAAAAAAGGTACATAAAATT